TTATCCTTGGACCTTGTAGGGAAAGATCCAAAGAGGATCTCTTTCCCTATTAGTGTGAAAGGTTTGTTCACCGACTCTGTTGCTATGTGTAAAGTACTTTTGAACTTGGTTAGGCTGGTGCATTGTTTCTTATGCTTTAAATGCCTATTAGTGTTTTACATGGGAACGAATGGGTTGGGTCTTGGTTAGGCCCCAATACATATTTTCAATCCAAACATTGCCACCTTTAAATATGATTAAGCCATTAATGTTGGCTTTATTATGTTTAAACGTTTACCTTCGCTTGTTGGAAAGTACTTAAGGCCTAAACCTGCCGAGTCATAGAATTCTGATACTCTAACTCCTCAGCTTGTTATCTCGGTATGTCAAAATTATCCTTGACTAAAACCGTATCACCGTCGAGTCTCGCCTTCTTCGACACAAACTAAGATTATGAGCCTAGACTGATTATGCAACTAATTGTTGGAAATTATATATTATATATTATAGTATATAATTTTAATAATTGAATGAAAAATATTGTTAATCAATTTCTTAGAAAAGTTATGTTGTTTAGTTGTATTCCCTTGATAAGTGATGTATACTTAAAGATGAAAAGTTACATCTCTTTGATAAGTAGAAATTGGATTCTATATAAACCCATGAAACCATTGGTATTAAATAGAGAAAATTAGAGTTAATTTTTACTCTTGAGAAATAGGGTTTCCCTACTTTGTTTCTCTCATGCTTCGTGTGTCAAATTCCAATATGTGTCTTGAGAGTACGGAATATATAAAGTTCGCCAGAGTCCAAAAATTGAAGTTCTTTGACTTCGGATTATAGATTGTTGAATCCTGAACTACAAGCCTCAATCTCCAAGTTTGTCAGTTTTTCTAACATTCTCTTTAGTTGTTTACATTAATCTCATGTATAATTGATGTTGTGAATTTCTTTATAATTATTATCATTGGAATTATATTGTTATTTTTCATATTTTCTAATATTGCTCCAACAATCTAAAGACAGAATTTTCTCGTGGAATATTAGAGAGTATGAGTCTGAGTACATAATAGAAGAAGTTAAAATCAATAACATTGAACATAGCCCTAAACGCTAAGTAGAAGAAACTCTGATTTTGCTTTGGAAAATTTATGGGGCTGGATTTTATGTGTATATTGATGTGTATTAGTTTATTTGATGTGCTTGATATATACAATAATGTTTGTATGTTGCCACACTAGTGGTAATTGCATTGTGTATATACTGGAAGATGTTTTTCGATTTTCATCTAGCAGTTATATGTGTGCTTTCATTGTCTGCATATGTATGTTACAGCATATATGCCTTCTTGGCCTGGTTATTCTCACTAAAATGAATCTGCCATGCGTATGAGATTATAAGAAAATTAATAAATAGATATTTCTACATATGACAGTGATAGGGTATTGATGTCTCTGGCCATTTACCACCATGTTAAAATTTGAATTGTCATATAGGCTGATGCCCAAAGCGTTTCTTTCAGAGAAAACATGGATATATTGATAATATATGTTACACTGCAATCATGAATCTTTTGTTTCACATATGCGATTCTCATGATTCAATTGCATCATTCATGAATATCTGGCAAGTATGTTTGGCATTGACTTTTCTATTAGAAAGGAGGTGACGGTTAAGGCTAATTGAAATGGCTTGATTAAAAAATTTGCATTATTTTCAAATCTAAAAGGGCAATAATGTTCTTTCTTGGGACAATTGAAATCAATATTTGATTGGGTACGAGGATGATTAATCGGGTTTTGTTGAGAAAACGCTTATATTCATAAAGATGTCAGCGAAAGCTCTTGATGAAGAGTGACTACCCAAATAAAATGGGGTTGTTTTAAATTTGTATTGAAACAGTTTGGAAAACTCCAGTAAAAGATATGAATCCAACTTCCATGGTATCATAGAATATAAGATAAGTGCAGATTATTCATATTTATTCATGGAAAGAATGGAATACATATGAAGGACATTGAACAATTACTCAGGCATATGTGTGTATATGCAAAATTGGGTTTAATCTTTAGTCATGTTCAGTCATGATAAGAACCCAGAAAGTGGATGAATTTGGCTTTGAGAAGCAACAAAAATAAACTGATAAACTGAACTCATTTTAGATGAGTTATCTATCAACGTCGAAAGATGCTTATTTAATTATGGGGTCAAGGTCCAAGACTTATATTGAACCATGTGGCGGTTAAGTCGCAGAAAGATGCAACTATTTAACTAAAGGATGGTTTTGTAATGTGGCGGAATTGAAAATTGAAATTTGCCATTTGAGATTCAAAGAAAAAACATGCCATTTGAAGTGCTGCTTTTGACAGTGAAAGGGTAGGACCTTCCTAACTAGTCATTGACATATTCAAATGTGTTCATGGGCTGGTATGTAAACTTTTACATACTGACTGGATGTATTATCATATAGTGATAATAATGTTGCAAAATCATTTATATGCTTTCTTCGAAGTGATACACATTTATAAATTACAAGAGACCCAAGATGATATTGAGTGTCATTTAAAGTGATATTAATATAAAGAAATAATCATGAAAGTGTGGGGGTCTTTTAGAAAGGACAAGATCATACTGAAAATGTGAAAGACATTTTGCAGATTTGAATTCGACGTAATGATGCTTATTAGGTAAGCGTATGAATGGACATGGCCCTTGGGTCATGCTTGTTAGTAACAGGAAGGAAAGAATAAAAGCAAAGAAGTGATTTTGTCATAATTTCTAGTGAGGCATGAAGGCCTAAAAGGATAGATTGAGCCTATCTTTGTTGTTCCTTACCTCTTGAAGTGGAAAATGTGATCGATTTAATGATAGCATTAAAAGAAACTACAATTATGAAAGAATTGTAGGGGTTGGTTAAAAGTCGTTTGCTAATTGAATGACATTTAAGATGTCATCTCTTGTAATGAGTAATTGTTTAAGGTATGGCAAGCTTAGAGATCTTCTTATAAATACCTTAAATGTGGGGGAGTTTACCCAAGTGCTTATCGTTAGTAAATTACTTAGTAATTAAGTCCTAATATAAAGTTTGAAGACTTGACATTTCAAACAATGTCAAACAACTACTCTCGTATGAAATATAATTTCATAATATGAAAGTGCACACCATAAGAAGAGTCAACCTTAGTGATACCAATTATTAAAGGTTTGACTAGAGAGTAAGTTGAACATCGAGGGGAATGTGGCTAAAGCCAACACAACTAATGAATCAGTCGAGCGGAAACCTAACTTAGTTGATTGGAGATCCCATGGTCTAAGTTTAATAGGCAAACTGGTTGGGCATGGTTCAAAGAAGTTAACACACTGTATACCTCATTCCTATGGTAGAAGAAGTGTGTTGTCTGCAAAAGTTTTAGGATGTATATTTATACTTAATGACAGTGATATCTTATAAATAAGAGGAATGAAGTAAACTATTCTTAATCAGTGGTCACCTATGTGAGAGTAGAAGTGAGTCGCTTCTATGAGTATGAGATGGTTAAATTCTCTAAAGCTTTCATGAATCCGTGATTTGTTCAGGACCAAAATGAACACAACCGTATGAATCGGAATATATTAGGATTAGTGGTGTGTGTTGCTTATTGTTTCGGTTTACTACTGTGGTGAACAGTCCAAGATTCTATATTCACTGCGTCACCAAGTAAATCCGATAAGTATTCACTAGGGTAGGTTCAAGTCCAAAAGACACCTCTCCCGATGCATCTCTTGTCCGCCTGTACTCTCAAATTCTTCCTAATTTTTCATTCATGTGGGGGATTGTTGGAAATTATATATTATATATTATAATATATAATTTTAATAATTGAATGAAAAATATTGTTAACCAATTTCTTGGAAGGGTTATGTTGTTTAGTTGTATTTCCTTGATAAGTGATGTATACTTATAGATGAAAAGTTACATCTCTTTGATAAGTAGAAATTGGATTCTATATAAACCCATAAAACCATTGGTATTAAATAGAGAAAATTAGAGTTAATTTTTACTCTTGAGAAATAGGGTTTCCCCACTTTGTTTCTCTCATGCTTCGTGTGTCAAATTCCGAGTCGTGTCTGGAGAGTAAGGAATATATAAAGTTCGTTAGAGTCCGAAGATTGAAGTGCTTTGACTTCGGATTATAGATTGTTGAATCCTGGGAGACGGACGCCTATCGAACTACAAGCACAAGAGTATGGGCGAAATTCTGTCTTTAGGACATTGCATTAATGCAAGCCTCAATCTCCAAGTTTGTCAGTTTTTCTAACATTCTCTTTAGTTGTTTATATTAATCTCATGTATAATTGATGTTATGAATTTCTTTATGATTATTATCATTGAAACTATATTGTTATTTTCATATTTTATAATATTGCTCCAACATCAATTCCCATTTAATCTAGAAACCAATCATGACCTTTTCATCCAAAATCCAATCCGGATCCTCAAGTATCTAAGTCAAATATCATCAAAAGTCAATCCTGATCCTCAAACAAGCCTACTTTGCCTAGGACTCGGCCATGTCACCAACAATGCATTACTAGGTTGAGACTCACAACCTTTTTTTTTTTAGGCTGACTTCTAATAGCTCGGCTGAAACCAAAATTTTTCAGGCCCAAACAAAATCATCTTGATCTTTTAATCTAGCGCCTCCAGACATATGGGTCGAGCATGCAAAACCGGGTACACACGCATACAAAGCTGTGACAGTTGATTTGGTTCGGCTTAACTCATTTACTATGCTTGCTTAGCACCATTTTTTAAACAACCAATGGTGGATACTAAAGAAGTAAAAGGAAATAAAAAAAGGATGATAATAGAGCATTCGATAAGCTTCTCCGATCCAAATTTAGGGTATGATTACAAATCTGTGAGTTTAGGTGCACCGAAGTATTATTGTGGTTGCTGTCTGATAAAAAGTATAACATCTGTTTCTTTAAACTCTCACTAATTTATTTCAAGGTGCAATGAAAAGAAACAAAATAATTAGAAAAAGAAAAATGAATTGGGCCATCATGTTGTTGCACTTAGGATATTTGACACAATGTCATCCTATCGATTATTTCACATAGAACCAGCTGAATCTAGATTATTGGAGTTACAAACCTTATTGTAAGAGTCAAATCTCTCCTATTTTTTTAACTTCTTCATTTTCCTCTCTCTTTGTTTATTTCCGATCCATTTTTTTTTTTTTTTTCCTGATGAAGAAAACAGATGAACTGAAGCTGAATTTGATCAACATTCAGTTTAACCAATTTCCATTTTTTCCCTCTCAATTAAAAACACTGCAATCTCGACGAATATTACCGTTCTTGCCGGTCTTCACTCCGACACGGCCCAGCTTGGTCATAGCGGTAATAAAGGCCTGGTTAAAAGCCGCCTTGTTTTTGGCCCAATTTCTTACCGTGGGCTGGGATCTGCTGTCCGTAAAAAGGACCTGGTCCGAAGTAAATAATCCTTTCCCTTCCACAAGATTCTGAAAGTATACATTGTCAAACGTCCTGGGCGTGGTTGGGTCCATGTTGATGGCTATGTCGGGGTCTACATTTTTGGGACACATTTGTTGAAGCTCCGTTGCGTACGTTTTGTTCAGCGTGGGGTCCACTGGGTTACTGTAAATCCGATTTGAGAACTGGTTGCAATGAGAGAACCCAAGGGTGTGTGCCCCTGCAAATTAAACACAGTTATTAGTGCCTTTAATTAGTGCATGTCAAGGAACCATAATGCCGCTTAGTAGCAAATCAATACGAGGATATGATCGATTGTTTTCCAACAAAGTTTGACGAAGAATAATTGATGAAATACTTATTCAAGAATCACAAAGTATGATTCTCTAATATCAATACACATTATCTATTTCGATGATATATTTTTTTGAGTTGAAAACAATGTTTCTTGAAAGATAATAAAAATTTTAAAAGCACTTTAAATCATCTAAAAACTAGCAATTAAATTCTAAATATTGCAAGTATTGTGTATGTTTAGAAAAAAAGGCTAATTAAGAACGTTAATTCATGCGGATGATTGTTAGCTATCAAAGTAAGTAGACAGACTTTCACTAGCATAGGTCTTAGGTTTTAGTGTATGATGTGTCCCATTGACGAGAGCATAAAACACGTCTTACCTGAAAGAGCAACCATGTCAGCTTGGGACAACCCATGGGAAGCAAACAGGGAATTGAGCTGGTTCAAATTGAAGGTTGACTTGGGTAGCTTCCCATTTACACTTGTAGAAGTTGAGCTTAGTCCATCCAATCTTCCCAACTCAACAGAATATGAAGGTCCCCCAGACTGCAGAGTTAAACACATTTGATTGTAATTAACATTACCGTAATAAAAATGTAAGTAGTTATCACAACTACCCTGCATGGCAAAATAATAATAGAGCAATGCCCTTTATATTGTCGGACTTTAAATTTAAACCATACATTCTGATAAACGTTAACCTGATTGATCAGGTCATGATTTCAATTCATAATCTAGCGACAAACGAAAATTTCCAATATCAAAAAGCAAAAAAAATATTTTTTTATAGAGAAAAAAAAATCAATTAAAACAAAGTTCTTGTGATAACAAATTACCAAACCAATAACATCTCTGGTGGCCAAGGCAAGAATATCAGCACAAGAGACTTTGTTTTTGCATTGAGGAACTGCATCAACGGCTGCTTTCGCTTTGATCACCGTATCAAACCCATCTCCGGCTAATGACAGATTATCTGGATTGTCCTTTTCTGCCTTGTTGTTTGCAGTGGAAGCAACTATAACAGAAGCATCACATCCCTATACATTGATTTCACAACACAACAAAACAAGGCTAAGATTTTGATCGAAATTTGGAAACCCGTGTAGGAAACTTGTTATAATTTCTACAATTTAGGGTTTAGATAGCGTTTAAGTGATTACCTCGACAAAGCAATCGTGGAAAAAGAGACGGAGCGTTCCCGGAACCGTGACGAATGTTTGCTGGAATTTCTTAGTGACAGCATCTTTGACAATGCTTTCAACGTTGGGGCAGATATTGGCATAGTAGTTTGTTTTGAGCTGCGCCGATGTGGGACAAAGGAGTAGACACAGACCGACGCAAAGTGACCATACTAGAATAAGATGAAATCGACCCATTCGACAAAAAATTTATTTTTTCAGAACACAGATATGAAGAGAGAGAGAGAGAGAGAGAGAGAGAGAGAGAGAGAAGAAGAAGCAGACTGAGATTTTGAATGGTAGGGTGGAGGAATATATAAAAAGAAGAGGGCGCTTAAGTCTATATGGGCCAGTTGGATTGAGGAATCTTTACTTTTTTTTAATATAGACAAGTAGGTTCATATTAAAGCAAATGCATTTGAACGTAGACTAGTTATCGTGTGTTCGAAAGAGACATTGATTTGGGGCCTGTCAAATTTTCAGTTGCCGCCCCTGTTTACCTTGTTCTTACTGCACTGCAACTTTGTCCGAATGTTTGAGTTTGCACTAAAATAATAAAATATAGTGATTTTAATCTAAATACGTGGTAACAACCCTAATATAAAAAATGAACTTTAACGCAAAGTTATCGGTACTATTTATTTTAACGAAAAATCATATTTTTTATACTAATTTATACTAAAAAATCAATTTTGGTACTATTTACGTTACCCTCTATTTTATTCTTATCGTTAAAGCTCAAAATTTTTAAACATTTTTCTTTAGTTTTCTTATATAAAAATGATTTGAGAAAAGATGAAAACGTGGTCTAAAAGTGGATTTGGAGGCTGCTAAAGTAGACACAACTAGATCGTAGACTGGACGTTAAGGTTCCTGTGGCCTAGCTGTGGCTTTCTCTACCAGAATAGTGTAATGGACCAGCCACTTGGCATAGATCCAGTGTTATAAAACATGACTCATGACAATAGGGTTTGTAATTTGTTGTGTATAATTTAAAGTTTTTTTGTTTGTTTAAGGTTAATAACGTGAGCTTTTTAACAGATTGACAACAAAGTTTTGTCTATATGATTAAGATGATGGGGAATGGCCAACCAAGATGGACCCGGTTTGTGGATAAGAGCTGACTAAATTGCTAGTGCCTTCCCAAATTAATTCTAGGTAGATAATAAAACAAATGGAATTATGCATTATCTATCGGATATAGACAATGATATATAATGTCTATGCCTAGTGACTACAGTAAACAATTATCTATACTATAGGTGAATATATCAATTTTCTTTTAGTTGAAATCTCATTCTAAATAAGAATTTTGTGGTTTCAGAAAATCGACCTACAAATGGATCATGAAGAGCTTTTTTTTCTTGTCCACTCGAGTCTTGGGTTATAGAATGCTAATTCTAAGAATGACTGATATTGCTTTCTGACTCTTACTACTCAACTCAAAAGCAGACAGCTAGCTACTGCATTTCGCTTATTCTTTTTAGAAATCAAATGAATTTGGTCTTGTACATATGTGATGAAGGTAATAAACAAAAATGAGTTCTTTCTTTTATCATTTGGGAGTCATGCAACATGAACGTCTAATGCACAATTTTGAATGAGAGACAAGGTTAGTAATCATCATTTCAACTTTGACTCTCTCGCTCTATTGGTTGCTTTTTTTTTTTTTTTTTTTTTTTTTTTTTTTTTTGTGACTTCAAAATTAGCTACTTCAACTTAAGCCACTTGAATTTTCGATTTTCCTTTTTATTTCACAAATTATATCTTTTTCTACATGTGGCATGTGTGGTTTTATTTTCATCTTCACTTGTAGGTTCTTACCTATTAATTACGTTGTGTTTGAGAGGAGTTAAGTTTCATCTCCCACCCTTTTTTATTTGTATCTTATTGTTTCTTTTCAAGAGTAGTTAGGTTTAGGGTTGGGTTCGGTTCTTAGCGGTTCGAACCTAAACCGAACCGAAATTTTGGTTCGGTTCAATTTTTTTCGGTTTTTTCTCAGTTCGGTTTTTTTTTTCATCCTCCAAAGAAAAAAAAATTGAAAATATGAAAGTTCACATTCAAAGTCACTTCAGAGTCATCCACATGAAAACCTACAAGTATGAAATCAATTTTACACATCTACATTTTGCAGAAAAGGAAAGATATGCCATTTGAGAAGTGGTACTACTATCATAACCTTAGACCATATTCAACAACAAAACCATGATGAAAATCCAAAATTGCTCCACGATCCACCAACTATAGGAAAGAACACTGCAAGTCTGCAACAAAAAATAAGGCAACAGATTGACATATGCCAACGTTACCGAAAAAGTTTAAGTCTTCCAACTAGAATCATCAATCAAGTCTTCCAATTTCCAAAGTCCAAATTTAAAATAAACATCACACAAGTTAAATACACCTTCAAGGTTTCATCACTCATGTCTTGCACAAATAAAATCTTCCAAGTCCTCAAGTTCAAGCTCAACGCTTAGGCGGCGTAAGAGGCAACATAGCAACTTTGTTTGAGTTTCCACTTGCCATTTCTACATACAAATAAAAAAAGAAACAACATGATGTAAAGCAAGCATGCAACTTAGCATCTAATTAAAATAGTCTAACAAAACCAAATGCAATAAGTAAAATTACATTTCTCAACTTCTTCGCAAAATTCAATCTCCTCAATGGTTGGCTCATGATGTAATGCTACATGAATTGACCTAAGCCAATTTTGTGTACATATCAAAGCGTCCACCATTTTTGGACTCAAAGAACTACGATATGGATTAATTATTCGTCCACTTGTGCTAAAGGAGGATTCCGAAGCAATGGTTGATACGGGAATAGCTAAAATCTCTTTTGCAACTCGTGCCAAAATAGGATACTTAGAAAGCCCATTCACCATCCACCAATTCAAGATATCAAAGTTTGCCTCTTCTTCCCCTTCATTAGGATCCGAAAGATACTTTATCCATATCATTGTGCACAATACGGTCTCTCTTTGCTTCTCTCATTTCACTTTTCTCTTTCAACTTTCTTTTAATCCCTGTCATACTTGATAAAGGATCTCCACTTGTAGTTGCCGATTGAGAACTACCACCATTACTTGTGCTTTGTTGTGTATCAAAAGACGACTCTTCATGAATCTTGTAAAGATCAAACAACAAATCTTTCACCGCATTGGTTGCAATTTCAACTTTTTTCTCGTCCTCGCCATATAGTATCTCATAATAATCAACCACCTTCTCCAATTTATGGCAAGGATCAAGCACAAGTGCAACAAAAACATATTGATTCATATCATCAATTGAACCCCAATATTTGTCATATTTTTCTTGCATCAACATAGAGATCATAGACAAGAATTCATTATCTTTGTTTTCAAGGAGGAGAATTTTGATCTTAAACAAATCACCAAAAGTAGTATGAATTGTTAGAGTATTAGAACAACACACTTTTAAAGTGACTTTATAGAAGGGTCTAAAAAATGATGCAAATATTACCGCCTTACTCCAATCATGAATCGAAGGTGGCCCCTCCCTTATATTATCATGATTTTCTTTAGTAAAGTAAGGAAGGTAATGACCATCATCTACTTTCAACCTATCAAAAGCCATCTTGAACTCCAAGGCCGATTCCAACATTAAAAATGTGGAATTCCACCTAGTAAGGACATCTAAAATCATAAGCCCTTTGTTTTCTATTCTCACTCTCTCAACACACCTTTTAAAGCTCTCCAACCTTTGAGGGGAATATCTTACTTACCTAACCGCATTACGAATGCTTTGTATGGTGGTATACAACATCTTTATCCCATCATTCACCACCAAATTAAGGATATGAGCAACGTACCTCATGTGCAAATATTTTCCATCATGCAAAAATGCATTAGGAATCCCCCACCCACTTATTTGGTGCACCAAATCCCCTAAGCCAGAATCATTAACTGAAGCATTGTCAACCGTAATAGTTAACACCTTCTCTATGCCCTACCTCTCCAAAAGTTAAGCAATGGATTCTCCTGTGTGATTTGGAATGACACAAAAGTTCAAAATCTTTTTATTTAACATCCAATCATCATCAATAAAATGAGTGGTGAGAATCATGTAATTTATTTGTTGAATAGAAGTCCATGTATCCATTGTTAGACACACCCTTAATGTCTTCAACTAACTTTTCAATTTCTCCTTTCTGGAGTAAAACAAGCCAAGAACATCTTTAGCTATTATCTTACGACTAGGTACTTTCCACAAAGGACATGCATGCATGCAAAAATGACGAAAACCATCTCCCTCGACGAAAGAAAAAGGTAACTTGTCTATAATTATCATCTCAACACAAGCCTTAGTAACTTCTACTTGAGAAAAACCAATAGCTTCCAACTTATCTTTTGTGCCGGCAAAGGTTAAGATCTTTTGCCTATTTGCGGCAAATATGTCCTTATTAGGACCATAGCTCCTACATCTAGCTAAGTGATTTCTTATGCTAGTTGTACCATTTTTATCCGTGTCGGCCATATACAATTTGTTGCAATACTTGCACGCCCTTTAACTCTACATCCCTCAATTATCCTATCAAAATGCTCCCAAATTGTAGATCTTGAATGACTTTTTCGTGAATCCAAGAGAGTGTCTTCTTTACTTACTTGATCACTTGAGCCACCTTGTTTTGGAGTTGCATCGGATAAATTTGTGGATCCACCATGAGTAAGAGGAGTTTGTTGAGTTGCCACCATGGGGAGTTGAGGTGGAGTTGATTCACCAACAATGTCCTTCAAAAATAAGAGAGAGAATCATTACAATTAATTATTAAATAAATTGAGACATAAGAACCATAGAGAAAGTATAGAGATGACAACTTACTTACGATGGAGTAGAAGTAGATGAGTTTATTTTTTCACGGGAGCTATTTGATGATCTCATTGAGTTTGAGCTTGAACTGAGGTACAAAACATATAATAAGCATTAGCTACCAACCATAAGGACTCCATATGCTCCTCACAATATTATAAGAACATATTTATAATTAAGTTTTCTGATGCTATCAACATGAATTATAAAACAATCTGTGGCCATGATGCCATCAACAATAGACGACTGACCACCAAAGAATAAAAATTAAAAGAGGGTGTGAGGCTTATTAACAGACATGCACATAGCAGAGCAAGATGTTTTCTTTGGGGAGGTACACCTCCCGTACAGAGATGTTTTCTTTCTTATTAACAGAAATATCAGATCATCAGGCATCAA